CTCCTTTTTTGTTTCCCCGTATTTCAGATTCAAATTTGAAATTTGGTGATGATGCTTCTATTAAAACTGCATTTTCTGTATTTTGGTCAAGCCATGTTTCAGCCATGAACATAAGATCTAGATTATAAGAACAAATAAAATTATTGATTAAAAAAGACTTGTTACAAAGAGATCTGACACTTAGCATAGCAAGTTTCAAAGTTTCAGGATCAGCGGTTGTGGTCGGCTGATTCTTACACGGAACAAGAATTAGATTTTCCTGATTAGACTGATTAACTTCAGATGTTTTTCTGTAATAGTAAGTAAGTTTTTATTTATATTCAGATGTTTTTCTGTAATGTATTCTTTGTGTTATCACTAAAGGAATGGCACAGGTGGCTTCATGACAGGGCCCCAGCCGGGTCTCTCCTCTAACTAGACTGCCAGTGGCTGCGAAGCAGAGACCCTGTGCATCCTAGGGAGAGGAGGGAGGAGGATGGAGAGGTGGGTGGTTCTTGGGAGTTGGACGGGGGGGGTTGAAGGTGGATGGGTTTTTGGTGATGGGTTAGGGGAGGGGCAGGCTGAGTTGGGTGGTGGACGAGGGGGGAGTGGAGGTGGAGGGTTTCTTGGTGCTGGGTTAGGGGGGAGGTGGGCTAAATGAGCAGGAGGGGGGGGTGGAATACTTATGGGGTTAGAGGAGGGACGGGTGGATTTTGTGGGAGGAATTTGAGTTGGACGCCCTAGGTGGCTTTGGAGGTACGTATGGGGAGTAGTTTTGAATGTTAGATAGGACTCTTGATCTGGCTACAGTGGGTGTGAGAGGAATAGTCTTCATCGCCGATCTTATCATGCCTGCCGAGTGTTCCGGTAATTCCAGTAGTGAAGGCGGGGATAGAAAACAAAGGGAAAGGTCGTCCTCATTTTCCCTAGATGGAGTGGATGTAGCGGGGGGGACCCAAGCCGGGTCCATGGAAGGTGATGAGGGAGTCTTTGGTGGAGACAGAGGTGGTTGAGGAACCCCCAGTACAGGCCTGACTGTAGCCTGGAGCAATGGGGAAGCTTCACGGGAGCTGTAGGTGGGGAAGGTGCTGCTGAAGATGATGGAGCAGCCACTGCTGCTGCTGTATCCACTGCTGCTGGTGGTGCTGTATATGCTGATGGCGCTGATGAAGATGTGGCAGCTGCTGATGATGCTGGTGGTGGAGGCGTTGAGCTCTTTCGGAGCCGTGGAGGTGTTGAGTTCTTTTGGAACCTTGGAGGTGTTGAGTTCTTCTTGAATCGTGAAGGTGTGGAGTTCTTTTGAGGCGGTGGGGGTGCAGAGACCTCGGGAGTCGGTGGAGATGGTCGTGATGTCTGTGCCCTTTGCTTCTTCTTTCTCCCTTTCAACGGCTGCACGTGCTGCGCAGGCTGAGGTCTTAGGGCAGATGCAAAGTTATCCATCAACACTTTTACTCCGTAGTTGTTCAGATGTGGGCCTTTTTCTTCAAAAAGCTCGTGCCTATTCCAGAACAGGTTAAAGTTTTCAATGAAGCCAAGTCCTCTGCGTGAACACTCATTGAGTAGGAATGTATTTAGCTGATACAGACGGCTAAACTTCTCCATTTTTCCATCTATATTTGGAAGTGGGCCACTAAGAAAAATTGTTATGTCCATTTTCTTGAGGTCATCCAGTAACAGCGTTAAATCCATTCGTAACTTCTCGCTTGCCTTCTCATAGATATCTACCGCCCCCGTGTGGATCAATAATGTACGCACACCACTGTTCTCAGATAACACTTTAGGCAGAAGAGTCCTTATCTCAGCAACTTTTGCAGAGTGAACTGAGACAGTGAGCATGGACTCCATGTTTACATTTTTCACCGAACCATCTCCGATAAGGACACAGTTTGTCCTTGGTGGAGGCGCTGCTGTTGTTAGCGGCTTTGTTGTTTCAGAAAGGGGTAAAAAGCGGTTTGAAGTCTTCAGAACATTTAGTTGTGGCCTTATTTCACTCCTATTGTCATTCTTAGCTTTGTCAACTTTGGGTTTAGCTCCACAATTGTTCCAATAATTCTCATTGTTGATTTTGGGAAAAGAAATGACGTCATAACTTACATTTCCAGTCTGTCCATTCATCCCATTTTCACTCATTGGAAGAGTCGGGTTAAGTCCCATTTCTGTTTCCACAATAGATATCCGTGTTTGAAGAGATTTGAGCTGATATTCCAAAGCACAACAGCCGCCGCAGACGCTTCTCCGTCTCTTTCGTTCCGACATGACTAAAGTTGATAAATTCCACAAAGCTGAAGTGTGTAGAAGGAGTAATCCTCGTTTTGTAAATAAAATGATTAAAGGAGAAACAAAAAAATGTAAATAAAATGATTCAAGGAGATTAAAAGGCGAAGCAAAAGCAGAGCAGAGAGACACACGACTGCTCTCTCGAGAAGCAGGAAGCAGTCCTGCTTCCTGCTTCTCGAGCGTGCACAATGTGAACATTTACCACTTCACGTAGACACAAAACATATACTGTAGGTCTTTAGAACAGTGCTTCAACATGTTGTATATACTTCTCTATTATGAGATCAATAAAGTTTATCTTATCTTAAGTTTCAAACCTAAAGAATAGAGAACTCAATGGAAAAAATACATGTTTTGATTGTTACAGCATTTGTACTCAGTAAAACTATTAGATTTAAGAATATGAATGAAAGAATATGAATCCATAGTCTCATAATTTACATAAAACCATGAAAAACATTTGCTAATTTATGTTGATTCGACAGTTAAAAGGCATGCAGACTGACATGTACGCTTTCTTATCCACTCAATCCATTCTGACTCAATCTCTGACTCAAAATTACAAGGGTAAGGCAAAAAAACAAGGTGAGTCAGCCTGTGAAAAATGATTCCATCTATTATAATAATCCAGTAGTAAGATCATCATTGGAGGTGGAGGCTGTGTACAGAGCCCCACACCAGCAGCGACTGAGGAGAAACAGCTGCATCTCATCATGGAGCCACCTCCAGCTGTCTCTCCAACACACCAGAGGAAGGACGCCTGCGGAAACCAGCTTAAGGTCAAGAGTCTCTTAAACTGAGGCATGAAACTCACTGAAGAAGCCTGGAGGTGAGACAGGTCGAACTAACTCTTCAAAAGAAAGTGGTGGAAGAAAATTGGGCCTGTGCAGAGACCTGCTTCTGTATCCATACGAACCCATCACAACGACAAGGACAATCGTATACATCCAAACTACATCCATTCTGCTGATTGGGTCATTGTCAGGCTGAAAAGTGTAAGGACCTGAATGCATGATATCTTATTGATATAATGCATTACTGATATCTTATTGATATAATGCATTACTGAAATGTTATTGATATAATGCATTACTGATATCTTATTGATATCATGCATTACTGCCAACTCCAGGGGCAAGAAAAGCACAAGAGAATCAACATTTCTGGACAAAAGAGCTCGAAGGTGTTATGGAAAGCGAATGAGCATCACAGGAGTTGTTCAGTGAAAAATCACAGAAAGTACCTCCAAGACAACTGAAATTGAATAGATTCAGCGAAGCACATAGTATTACAGAATATCTTTGTTGAGGTGACATTTTCACACAAGAATGACTCGAATTGAGTAAATCTTGAAAGTACAAAGAGCATTTGTTTTCTTAGTATCACGCAGTAAGCTAATTTTTCTTATGCAAAAGCTTTCTTCAAAAATAATGCAAGTAGTTTATAATAGTAATTTATAAGCCAGTGTTTCTCAAACGGAGGTACGTGGACCCCTAGGGGTACAAGGGGGTATTGCAGAAGTTACTTACAATGAATTTTATCAACTTGCAAACATTGAATGACCTACCATAACATGTTAAACGCAATTTTAAAGCTAATTCTCAGAAGAAAACAACTGAATATACACTCATATATAATAATTATACAAATATTGAACACATGAAGCAATTAATCATAAAACTTAGGCTTATAATTGTAAACTGATGGACTTTCTCTTTTTGAGAAGTTTTGGTTCAGTCCAAGCATGAACTCATTTAGTTTTTCAAATAAATTAAGAACAACAAACTATGATACCTACATAATATATAATGACTTTTGAAACTAGACTTTGATGAGGTCTTAGAACAGCCTAAAAAAAGGATTTGACTTTTTTCTTAACAGGGCGTACCTGTGCGTTTTCTCCGCCATCAAGGGGGTACGTAAAGAAGAAAAAAGCAACTGTCTCTACTAATCATCAACGATATCAAACAATATTATGAATGGCTCTGTCAACAATTGTACATATGGAAGTATACAATTACTTTAGATCACACTTGCATGGTGTTATTACATATCTCCATAAGTGCAATTTTAGTGAGCAAATTGCACTTATGTTTTCTTTCTTTCTAAGCTTTGCTCATAACCTGCCGCAAATCACTTCACCTTTTACTTCAACCCGAACACAAAACAATCAGAAGGATAACATCAATGCAGTCTGGGTCAGAAGGCTCAGCTCAAAGTGTGGGTGAAATGTCATCTGGACTCACCAACCGCAACAATGAATCAAGGATATTTCTATTTGTAGTAAAAGTGAACTGTTGGTATCTGTCCAGGGAAGTCTACACAGTTGTTAGCCGTAGTTATACAACCAGAGCTTGGCAACAATTAATCAATTCAATATGCACGCATTTCTATAGAGGGTTGAGGCAAACAAAGACGCAGCAGAGGAGCAGAAAATAAATTAAATTGTGTTTACAAAAATCTCATTCAGGAAGTCCCTCCATTTTAGCCGTACTGAATAATATCTTTCCCCCAGCTTATTTGAAGCACCAAGGGATCGGACAAACAAACTGCGTAATCGTGAAAGTAAACATTGGGACAAAATGAAATTAAACTAGAGGAATTTACAAGTCAATTTTCTTTTACGTTCCCCTGAAGCCAAATCACCGGCTATAGCTTGTGGAAACTTTACACGGATTGGCTCCAACAAGATTTTTTTTTTTTCTCGAATTGGTCTCCCCATCTCCCGAGGCAAAAAGGCAATTTCATGCTCGAGCACGACTCCAGGGGACATCAGGACTGGAGGTGACCCCAAGGTTAACACCACAAACCTCATAAATAGAAAAAAGCAACAGGAGTGGCAACAGTGGAGTGGTAGTAGTTGCAGATTGGGGCCGAGCGTGGCAGTGATTTTCAATTTTCCCAAGAAAATGAATGAGCATATGGATCTAAAGAGTAGCATATGATGGAAGTGAGAAGCTCTGTGTGCCCGTCCAAGGTGTTGCTGGCGGCAGCTGCAGCCTGTTGCCAAGCTCGTCCGTCAATTCTCAATGTGACTGATATCAATTATTCAAGGGAACATCGCTGCGAAGTTGGCAGCCAAGAATCAACCCACATTTGAAATAGTATTGGTAAACAGCATGCATAAGTCCACACACAGACTCTATGCATCCAAAAATTCAACTGGAGATCACTAATTAGAAAAATGCAAATGTGGGGACCAGGTCATAGATGTCGTTTTGTGATCTATTGATGTGTTTCTCAGCCGTCAGAAAAACGCACACCCACTGTACGTAACCCTCACCCAAAGCTGCTCCTAAGTGGCTTCTTGCCTCTTCGCTGGCTGCCAAGAAGACAGTAAGCAGCAGACCAGTAACTGGTGCTTAAAATGCAATTTAAGGGAAAGTTATTGCTGATATTTATAGCTTAAGTTGATCAAAGCAGATGTAGCAGTTGCTTTTAGGGGCAAGAGCAGATCAGGTCATTGTGTGTGCATGATTCAGCAGCAGCTTAAATCAACACTCACACCTGGTTAAATAAAGTGTATTTTTAGACTGCCTAATGTGCCCTTGGAGGGACAATTAGTATTATGTTTTACTTAGGATGATACAAAACGGTTTAAAATCTAATTGAAACAGTGAATAGTTCATCACTCTGTCTGTTAGGGATTCAGAAAATGTCAATTTTGCTAACTTAGAGAAATGGCATAGCCTGAGCATATTGACATTGACAATATTGGTTCATGTATTGAATCACACAGCATAGAGGCTTGAGGTCTGATGTGCACAAGCTTCAAACCGGTGCTATACTCATATTGTGTCAGTCAACGCATTTCAAGTCATTTACAGCTTAAATTAATTCATGTTAGTGCCATGGGATTGATATGGAGGCGTGCCAAGCCTTTATCTACTTGTAATGCTTATTGTCTCTATTCATTTGTCTATAAGTGATACTAATTTGAGAAAGAGTGGTATTAGGCTTACATCCTCGTCCTCTCTGACGCATTTCTTTCGGTATTGCACGTGGGGTCTGCCGTCGGCGTGAGGCTGAGGGGTCCTGGCCACGTTGTCCTCATCTATGACCTGTCCGCCCAGGAGGTGGCTGGCCTCAGGTGGGTGCGGGAATGAATTGGCCGTATTGATCTTCCCGGTGAATCTCTGGTACAAAGAAGCCATAATAGTCCTGATGCAACAACTTAAAGCATGCCAGAGTCAAAAAGGCGCGATCTGCTGTGTGAGGTGAGCGCTGGCACACGGACACAGCTCTCCGGGTCTCTTCTCAGTGAACAGAGGAGATGACAGTTTGTAAATAAGAATTAGTGATGATGAGTCCGTGTGGAAAAAGAACAAAGGCTGTTTTCCCCGTGTAAATGTGTCTTGGCGCGCGGCACAACGGCGAGCTATAGGTGTCAATAGTGGTCTCTTCAGTATTCATAACACGTTTGTCTCCTCTTCAGTTTCCCGGTGTCTCCTTGTCTTGCTGTGAGAGAGAGAGCAGGCGGCTGAGTTTCCGATCTGATGCAGCCGGTCCCCTTCGGACACCGGCAGTGATTGTGTGCGTAAGACAAAAGAGTATAAAAGAGCGGCAGATAATGTTTCAACACTTTGGGCGTTTGTTTTGGCCGGCTGTCGTCACGCGCGAACACGGTGTGAAGGACGCGGAGAGGAAAAGGAGGAGAGGGAGAGAGACCCGTGATGTGCAGCAGACGCGCTTTGCATGAGAAGTGACCGAGGCTCTTTGACCATAGCGTCTCCATGCGCTTTACGCACGACACACATGAGCGCATCTCTGCATCTCCGCACACATATCTCTATATTAGACCCGTCTGGTCTCTTAAAGGCCATGACTTTTTGTCTTGTGAGACTGGTCCCCAGGACGGCGCTCGAGTGCCTCTCTGTGGCGTGTGAGACACAGGACAGCTGGATCATCAATGTGCACAATTTTCATTCTGCCTTCAACTGTCCAACTCTTATAGAAGTCAGCAGTGTATTCATGGATAATTATCATAAAATAATCATCATCATCTAAAAAAACCGTAGGGTACATTTTTTGTAGTTTTTTTTGCATTAGGAAAATATCCTTACTGTGAGCTGTTGGTCTTGAGCAGAGCCATCTTCAAATGTATTACTTTATCTGCATGGTAAACTAAACATACTACTATTGTGTATGTAGTTGTAACAGTCATTGATACTGTCACATATCACACTATGGTCATCAAACATGTTGTGACAGCCCCACCTCCCAGCTACAAACTCCTCCAAAGCCTCCCATGCTCTAAATCGTCCCATCAACATAACCCTTCAAATTTGGCACAATATTACAAAATATTCCCTCCCAGAACATTCACTGCCGAGGCAATGCTCCTATCTCAAATTGCCCAATATTGGATTATATGGAGCAAATGGAGCCCCTGTATTCAAGTGGGTGCCAGCTTTTGCCCTGATATCCAGTGGTGAGCCTCACTCAGCCGTCGCATGGCGTCAGCTCAAACTATCACTCTACCAGGACACCAAGTGGAATTGTGGGAAATGGGTCATCTTCACTAGAGTTGGAACTTCAAAGCACAGCACTTAAGTACAGCTCCAAATAGCCACACACTGATGAGTGGGACATCTGTCATTATGAGTGCTGATGGATAGATGAACTTAAAAACCAATCAGAGATTGGCTGTAATAAGAGCCTTTCAATTGTGCTGTTTTCCGCAACATTCAAAAGTCTAGAGGACATTGATTCATGACATGAATTATAAATGTTACAGAAATAGTAATGGGATATGTATCTAGAATGCTTAATATTGATTTCAAAATGTTGAAGACACTGTTGAAAACAAAACCACAGACCATTACTACTTTTAATTAAACTTCCCCTTTTTACTTCAAATAAATTTCCCATGGCTTTGGGAAATGATTCATAAATGAATTGCATCCCATTCTTTGAAGTTTTGGCTTGCAATTAATTTCCACTAAGATTTATGGCATGCACCGATCACTGCACGGAGAGCTTCCTCCTCCGTCGAGGTTAGCTTGGTCCCTATCATCATTTGTTTCTCTTGTTCATAAATGCCTTCTTCCAGGGTGTGCACGCTCAAGGGAAATAGGTTTGAGAAACTTGACAACCATCCAGCCTGCTCTGATAGATGTCCTCCAGCCTCCATCACCTTGTTGGGGTGGCTGTAGTGAATCGGCTGGCTGGCTTTAACGTCCCCCACAGGAGCGTCCCCTGGAGCTTGGGCTCAGCTTGACTTCTCCATATCACTGGCTCACAGATACGGAGTCCTGTCACAAACATCACTGTGTCACGGTGCCGCCTTGTAGTAGGCGGAGAAGTGTGAAAAGCCGTGTAATAACAGTGTAATGATGATGATATGTGCCTGGGCTCTGGGGGACAGCTACACCAGCAATGGACAATACGGAGGAATTGTATATGCAGGCTAATAAAAGGGCAATTTCACACATGCAAGAGATGAATGAGGCAGAGAACAAAGACAGAAAGCAAAGTTTTTTTCAGCCTGGCTTTCATAGGGCTTGACACATATTTTCCGGGACCCTTCTTTGCTTTAAGTGAACACATCTTAAGGAAAACTAGATTTCTTCTGTTTTATTTTTTACTTTTTTATTTTATTCACGGGGCAGCAGTGAGCTGTGACTCTCAGACTTTCCTCTCCCCAGACACTAACTTGGGATTCAACAAATACCACCCATAAAACGTGTTTTTTGGGACCGGTAATATATTGTCTTTATTCATTATTGTTTTAAAAGTGCTGTGTCTTCACAAAGGAAAAAAACCTACTTGTTGTTTATTTTCATTAAATTGAGCAGAGTCTACCAATAATATTCAGCTAAATCCATCTGCTTTCTTCAAACAATTCTATTACACTGCTCCTCCGCAGAAAAAGCTGCATTGCGATTATATTTCTTTCTTTTGAGAAAAAATTACAGCGCAAGGCGGGTAATTCCTCCACATATTCAGGAAAGACAATTTCCAAAGAAAGTAAGTAAAACCCGGAGTGAGGGGGTTAGTGCCAATAGTCAGAGGGCTGAGGGGAGAGCAATGGCGGGGCACATGTACCAGGATATAAAAAACAATATGCATGAGAAGGAAAAAGTTATGTCCCTTTAAGTCATTGCCCAAAGCTGATGACTGGTGGAGGTAGCATGTGTATGTTTAATAAAATAAAATAAAAACTTATTTATACAATATAAATTCCAATTGCAATATTTGATTTAAAAAATATTAAATTTTGTATTTAAACATGTTAGAGTCAGAATAAATTTAACAAATATACTGATTTATTACATTAGCTAACTACTCATATAGTATTTTCAGTCTCTTCTTTCTTCCTTTTATTCTGTCCATTACTTGAATGTAACCTTTGCATCAGATGATGACTGATAACTAAATCAGACTTTCACCAGCGGGTCGCACAGCTGTATAATGAGCATGGCAGTAGTATTGAATTTGCCCTAATCTCAATTCATAACGGTTGTCTGTAAGGTAAGAGCCACAGGGTCACAGTATCGAGTGTGCAACCCATGTATGATTCATAATAGTTATAAATGATGTAAAAGCTTTCCACCACAATGCTCACATTTATTTATCCATATTAGCACAACTGTCAATGGAGACCAACTTGTTTCCATCAGCCTCCCACACACTGCATCAACATGACACAAAGTAATTAGATCGAAGAGCAAAAAGATCAATCAGTCAATGCCTCAGATTGAGATCATTGTAATATCTAATTTCCTCTGAACGTTGCTCAGTTGAATAATTACTGTCATGACTAATATGTCCAAATTAAGTTACGGGGACAACATAATCACAATTTTGTACCATTCGTCTTCTACTCTTTTCTTCTGACAGAGCTGACTGAAATGATTTTGTTAATGCAATGACCTAGAATGAAACAGTGATTAAAAGTTTTAGCAGGCCAGGTATAATTTTTCCAACTTTCAAATCAAATGCTATTGACAATATCTGTATAATAAAACCAAGACAAGAAGCCAGATAGCCGTATTGTCATTATAGAATATCCATTTGTATCCGTGTAGGAAAATGTATACAGCCGTTTTAAACGTAATCATGATTTATATGACGTTTGAAGTAAGTAATGTTTATTTATTTGGCACAGACCATGGTCACACAAAGCAGACTACAATTTTGGTGTACCGTAATTTCCATTCACTTTCCATTCAAGGCGAAAACCTGGCACATCGAAGGACACCATCCATCAGTTGTTCCATTTAGACCTATTACATACATGTTTTTAGTGGTAGGGGAAACAGGAGCACCTGGAGGAAACATGCAAACTTCACATAGAAATCGAACCCAAGTGGGGTCAAACAAAAGGATCTTGTTATGCCTAGCGTACATTGACATGGCAACTGATTATATCCGTCGCATATGAGTTGCTGCCCCGCACACATCGACAATCTGGCGAAAACGGGCAACTCCTAGTAGCAGGCCAGTCTCGGGAATAACAGCGCGTACATCGACAGCAACTGGCCGTGTGTTTTCTGGCATAAACTGTAGAGAGCGCGCAATACACACAATACACACATGTTGTTGGAGCGCGCCATGGATCTGCAACTGACTGAAACCGGAGATCGACTGTTTATCTCCAGTTGTAAGAGCGCTCACATCGACCAATTTCAGCAACTGATCATCTCCCGTCATCTACTCTCAGTTGCCAAAAGCCGCCTTGCAACTAGTTGTCTCCAGTTACTCTGTCGATGTACGCTAGGCTTAACGTATCAAAATCCGACTTTTTTTTACAATAAAAGACACTCTTGAAAATGTGAGTCTTGCCTAAGGACACAACACAACAACAGTTTAACACTTTACAGTCCACATATGGCACCTGGTGTTCCCAGAGGTCTCCCATCACAGTATTAACCAGGCACCACACTGCTTAGCTTCTGAGATCTGACGGAATCAGGACAAAACAAGCATTAGGTTTTTGAAATTATCTGATAAAATTATTGTTTCCAAATTAACTGATCACATATATTATATTTGTATTGAAAATGAAGTTATGCCATTATGTATGTTTTCATTATGTTATATAACTCTCAACACCTCGACTGAAGCCTCCAAAATCACGCATTCTTTTCAGGAAATTCTTCATGCTTTATAAATCCAGCTAATTCATTTATCAGCAAGGTTTATAATCAACTTATCTTGAAGGGCATCTGGGCGGAACATGAAATCATTGTGGCGACACTTTCATTTTAATAGAATGTACAACAAGAATTTCTTTCACATGATAACAAGCTGCCACCAAACTAACAAGAAGATGAATACTCAATGAACTGGCTCTACCGTTAGTGCCGCTGTAGTTTGACAGATGGCGAGCGACAACAATATATAATTTTCCTAATGTCAGTTTAGTTGGTAGACCACCTATTTATTCTGCCATAGAAACATCTTCTTCTGTATGAGTGTTTATCAAAATGTAATTATGCCCCACCGCAGCCAAAAGTCAATGGGACAGTGAGGGAGAAGACATCCCTTATCTCCACGCTGCACCCCAACACTACGTTACAGCGCTGGGCTCATTTTGCCACATGTAACGACGACGCATTCAATTACTGTGAGCTGCAAGTCACAGCACTTTATTACAGCAGTGACCTGGTGCACAAAGCCCGATACCTTCATGTGTCATTGGAGCGGATCTTCCATTCACATAAACCACGTGATTTACGGGCCCTTTTGTGTGAATGAAAATATTTTTTTTATAACGTTGAGGTTCTCTTATCAATTCATATGAAAATCCAATTTCTTTAAGTTGTTGGAAAATTAAACTTTGAGAAAGTAGCATGTGTCCCTCTGGAGTTTGCATAATGATCTTCCATGCCAAGTGTGGAATCTTCCACAACATTACAGCTGAGGGATATGTGGTGAGCCCAAATTGAAATAAGCAGATACCGTGGAGATAGGTTTAATGTTGGCAGAGAGACTGCAGGATGTTTTTTATGGAGGGAGAGCAAAAAAAGCCATGAAAATCCTGGTTGAATCCGAGGAAGCTGTTTTCTTAGAGTCCTAAAATGCCCCTTAACATGCACATTCTATCATTACTACTGATGTTTCTTACAGAGTAACACGCTTTTGCTAATTTATTATTCCAGCTGCCACAACATTCATTTATCTAATCTACAAGGCTGCCCAGACCTCGGCTACTCCAAAATGTGAAATTAATCACCCTGTTTGCTCTGCAATTTCTTTTCTGACAATAAACTGTGAGACACAAAAGCATGCTTAATTCACTCAGTGAAAGAGTTTGTCATTCATTCAGTGGTAATCAACAAAAGTAAAAATTGTGTTGTCAACTTCGTAAAAACATAACAAAATGTTTGAAGTTAGATTTCATTGAAAAAAGCAATATTTCTCATAACGACATCATGCAAATACTGACAATAAGTAGAAACACAGCTATATAGAGCTGATGAAATGATACCTGGAGCAGTCAGTTTGTCCCGTAGCCATCACTCTCCACCAGCAGGCATTCATGTCAGGAGCCATACCACAGACACCCCCCCCCCCCCCACCCCCCACCCCCTGCGTGCCGTGCATTCTAAACAAGCCCCTTACCCGCGTGGTGGAGGCTCTGGTGTCTATCTTCAGCTGGGTGGCTATAAAAACGGACATGCCGGGAGAGAGAGGGAGCTCCGAGATTTCTTGCCTTCTTGCTTGCCCGCACCTTAGTGAAGTTTGCTGGAGGTGTCCGCCTGAGAACTTGCCTCTCTCCCCTTTCCTTCCCTTCCCTCCCTCCCTACCTCCCTACCTCCCTCCCTCCCTGCTGAAGGCTGACCCGAAGGTCCGAGGAGAGCCCCGACCGGACCGCCTCCAGGTTCCCTCTCTCTCTCTCTCTCTCTCTCTCCTTAAGGGCTGAATCAATCATACACAACGGCTGGCATCGCCTCAGCGGGGGGAGCTTTTGAGCAGAGAGGAGGTTGGGAGGGGGGGGGGGGGGGGGGGGGGGTCCGTCTCCTCCACTGCTCCAAATGCTACTTATCTCCCCTGTCCTCCCGCACTGCTCCTTTGAATCATTCACCCTCGCTCAGCAGAGTTCGCGCGGGCCAAAAGAGTTCAGGCAAATAAGATGCTAAACACATACTATTGCAGGGAAATAAACACTTAAGTCAGACTATATACTGTGGCTACACTATAAACTTTCCTCTTTATATTGTGCTGCTTGGGCACTTTTTCCACTCCGGTTTGTGTGGCTGTGTGTACGTCAACTTCAAGTGGATGAACATATTACCAAGAAATGGATCAATTGAGTCAGCTTTTACCTTGGTTGTGATTAAGCGCAAGTTATATTTATGCTCCCTGTCTCCCTCGTCATAAAATACAACCCCCTACCTTCACAAATAATCGCTCACTCAGCTATCAAGCGGTGCTAACAGGACAGACGCCTGGCACCGGCTGCACTGCTGTTTCTGCCTATTGGATTGGGAACTGAGCAGAGTGAGGCAAAGCGCATAGGAGAGTGTGAAGAAAGAACTAATAATGTTGTTTAGTTTTTTTCCCTTCAAATTCAAACACTGTTCCCTTTTGTTGTGAGACTTGATTCAATTTGTTCAACTTACTACAAGCCTTCACTAAAAACGATACATCACAGGTCTGAGAGGACTGAATCTCAAGGCTATACCGGAGTTGAGGTTGGATCAGATGGACACGAAACTATAAATCAACCTTTGTATTGATGTCTATGAAGCAGTACATCTAAACTGGATTTATCTGACGAGAATTCCTTTATAAACAAGCTGCAAAATGTGTTCTTTCTGTAACAAAATTGGCCGTCGGTGCTCACGCTCGGAAACATGTTGTTGTCGTCCAGGTGGCACAGCGCACAATAGCAGACCGATTTTTGTTTCAGCGAATTTGAAAGTTATTGTGCCACGAAAATAGCAGAGACAATATGTTCACAATGTTTTGGATGAGTAAAATTGGTCGCTACTTTGAGCCATCATCGTGCAGTTGGTACATGTTGAGGGGTTTGCCAAATGCTAAAACAGAGGCTAAGAAGGAGGAAGCACCTTGTTAAAACCGAACAAAATGTGCGCTTTTGTTGGCTCACCACTGAGATAATAAAAATGCCTTGAATGCATATGGTAGTTCTTGGCGCTGCTTTGAACTAGCTGATCTTGCACAGTGACATTTCCCCCCTTGATACCCCTCATTGGACGCCTAAAGCATTCATTTTAGTCACATTTACAGTAATGATGTACTCTGCAGTGATTACAAACAATAAGAGCTCACACAGAGTAATTGCAATTACACTTAAGGTCATGGCCACCTCCTGAAGCGTATGATAATGCTGTATTTCATTGAAGGAGGCTCAACAATGGCCAAGCTCCTAACAATAGTTTTCCTGATTCTAGAGTTGCCTTTGCGGCTTGCTAATTCCCTCCATTTGTCACTTGCTGCTGATCTTGCAGAAGGTGAGCCACCATTAAACCATTTAGGAGTCGCTGTCAAAACAATATCATCAATATTAGCTGCAGAACGACACAGATATAATTCATTGGCTACAATTTAAAGCTTGCCCCAGAAATAGAAGAGGATTTTTCACTACAGAAATTGAATAAAGGATGAAATTAAACAATGTACACCCAATTTATTGAAGATTCTGTAAATAAACATACACATCGTTTGACTTTAGGAAGAATCTCTGTAGGTGAGGTTGGCAATAGAACCCAATAATTATGAATGTATAAACAAAGTGCAATGACCTAATCAAGTTATTCTTAGTAAATCTAAATAACATTGTTGTAAATAAGGATCTGTTAGATTTGTTTCTTGTGTCTTCTGAAACAATGTGAAGTTCTACTATTAATATAGAGTTGAGGAACTATACCAAATAATTACAATTACAATTACAATAGCATCCCTCCTTTTATAGACACAATAGCGGTTCATTTTACTGCTCTATCACAGAGAGATTGGCTTCACAAGTCGGTGTGATCTATGCAGCCCCAGATGGACTTAAATTGGCACGATTTATATGACGTACACTTCTTGGAACTGCCGTTTAGAAATCATGTTTAATTCCAGCTCCAATCTCCAGGTGCTGCCGGCAAACGCTGTGTCCTGAGATCCAGGGCTGACCTTGAGTCGAAAGCGCTGCCCCTAATGGCCTCTGTGGGACTAAACATCCTCCTTCTGCCCCCCCAGACCCCCGGCTCTTTATTTGGTATGCCCCGCAGTTCAGCAGGAGCACCGCAGATATCTGGGTGCAGACACCCAGATGGAAAGATGGAATAGCAATCAGGCTGGTGTCTTTTTATCAACAGGTTTACACGCGCTTTGGTTTTCGTCTTACTTAGAGTATAGTGCAAGGCTGTACTGCCAAGGAAAGTCATATTTTCTTTAGAAGTATGATCTGCATTTGAAAGCACTCTATGTTTTTGCCGCTGACACATTCACTTCAAAGCGACATTATTATAAACAGTATAATATAGTTCTGACGCATGTGTCATAAGTTACTTTTTCAACCACCCCAGTACATTTCAAATGATCATAGCACTGAATTTGTGTTGCAAAATGTGTTGCAAATAATAATTTATTGAACAATTCAATTTTCACTGAGGAGACTGCATAAATGAACCATAACATTAATTGTAATTAATTTGATTAACCCATACAATGTTTGTAAAGTTAGGTGAATTAAATTAGATCTAGATAAATGAGCAGCAAAGTGATTGCATTCAGTTGATGAAGAAAGGTTGAATATAATTACAATATTAAAGTGATAGTCTGGAACTCTATAAATTAATTGCAAATTTTAGGAATTGTATTAAATTGGAATTGTATTAAATTGATAGAATAAGTCATTTTATGAATTCTAAAATTACGGGTAAGTCCTGCCTTCCACTATGCCGTCCACTTTAACCAATCAAGTGATTATAATGACTATGATTGACCATGTCAATCATAGTCGCTCATTCTCGTAGTTGCGCTCATGCTCAGTTGTTTGTTTTCGCGGAGCCTCTGAATCAAGCCTCTATTAGGCTCTGAAACTACATGAAAACTGAAAAAAAGAATTCTGAACATCCGCGCTGAGTTACCCATTTATATACTGAACCTATATCCATAATCAGATTCTCTGCAGATGTGTCCTATAATGTTCAATTAATGATAATAGCTACTTCCGGGTTTACTGCGATCGCTTTTTTTGTGCATTAAAACATTATTTTTTTCATAAAAACTTTAACAGATGATTCTGAAAACCTCTGTGCATGTGTATTGATAATGTATATGTATAATGTGGTCTCCGATTAACATTTAAATATGTTGATTGATTGTTACAGAAACGTACAGTAGGCGTAGACCAATCAGAAAGGAAGGGGAGGGGCTTGGGTCGTGTTTTTTTCAAATCATGTACCTATCTTTCTTTTTTCTGACAAAACTCCAGACAATCACTTTAATGTTTTTGTGTCTTCGACATTCTTAATATTGTTTATATTACTCTGGACGGTAAATTAGTGATATAATCATTAGTTCGGACTCCTCAGTTAATATTGGCTCATTATTCTATGAATGTGAGATGTAGCACACTTTCAAATATTGTCAGTCTTCCACAAGGCAGCTGTGGCTACAGTGGTAGCTTACCACCACCGTGTTTGGAGTGAATAATGTTATAGAGGGTGCTTAAGACAAAGTCGATTGCATTTTTGGACCATAGAGTGTTGGTTTTTAGCTTTTTCATTTTCATGAAAATGTTTGTTTTGTCTCACAGCTGTGGAGTTTTCAGCCTGTTGAAACACACACACAGCTGCATGGTGAATCGTAGAGCTCCAAAGCTAAGATGAATCTAATGAAAAAACCTCACCTCTTTCAAGCAATAGATCCCACCGAGCAGCCTGTTGTCAGCATATATCAGCCATATTCATCTGGCTTCATACCCTGCAGGTTAAACTCAAAAGGTGACTGATGCTTTCCCAGGACTGTCTGGAAGCAACAACTAGAGAGATGCTCTTATAACCGCTACAACACCAGACTTAATATAGTCATACGTCATAGGCAACACATGCAGTACAAATGCATTCTGGACCCAGGAGAGCATTGCTACATTCTGCCACAGTCTGGCAGGATGGAGGACTTTGGGTGTGCGCCGGGACGGCTGCGGATTCTCAGATGCACAGTTCAAATCTCAGCGTAGCAGTTAGCGCTGACAAATGACTGCTGCTCAACTGTCCCTCGCTGGGTTCTCCCAGGTTCCTGCAGCTTATAGTTTGACATAGAAGTTTCAATCTCATTTAGGATGAGCAGTGTATGTCTACGGGTAACCGGTATCAGTTTTGCAATTCATCTCATGATAAATTGTTTAGTTGTTTGAATCGTGAAAGACTAGTGAATGAACTTAAGTCCAGAAATGGAAATTTGTATTAAGTGTTATTTCTTTTTCATGAATAAACATTTAGCATATATTTTCAGTATGACTTGGATTTCATTCTCACAATCTCTTAACAGGTTTCTTAATAGTATCTCTTTTATATAAGGGTGTGTGTGTGTGTGTGTGTGTGTGTGTGTGTGTGTGTGTGGCTCCACACAGAAAGGGGTCACGG